CAACATATTGACCAATTCATCGCGACAGATCAACACACACATAGGACCTCATGACACGACGCCAAGATATTATAAGATTCACTACAGTTCATTCTAACTTCGTTGGGTGGCTGAACTGACTGATTGGCTGAAGAACTGACTGATTGGCTGAAGAACTGACTGATTGGAAGCCTTTAATTTATATTTGGGCTGAATTAAGTTATGTAATGGGGTAATATTAGGGTGTATTTCGTAATTATTTAATGTATTATTTTCGGTCAAACAATCTCAGCACGTTCTCAAGGATTGGGTTAGGGATTAGGAATGATTAGATCAAGACACCAACCTCCCTCTCACACCATCTTGATAGTTATCTAGATATTTGAGATGGTCTGAAAGCACATTACTGTTCAAACCACACACACACACACACACACGACCATATCCACTCTTCCCCACAGCACACACTTACACCTCCAAACACACCCACACCCACACACCATCACCCCCCCTCCATCAAAATCTAATGGAACCTTACCCGGGTATACGCAGCTCCGGAAATGGAACAGTACGCATCAGCAAGCGTCTCACGTTCCAATACCGCTCCACAGTAAACATTGCTAGCTTCCCATAACGCCAACCCGAAGACCTGGTCGGCTCTCACTCCACTTGAGAATAGCGCCAGATCGTGCCCGTCTTCTGGGCCTCTGATGCCTTGTTGTATGTCCTCCCGGCCAATGTTCAGATTCGGCGCTGCTTTTGAGGACGTGTTTGGACACGGAACGACGTGTTCGGGAGGACGTGGCAGGCTGTGGAGGACGTGTCCGGGATGAGGAAGATGTCCGTGTCCGTGTCCGTGCTGGAGAATATGTCTTAGAGCTAGAGACGTGTCTGGTATGGCCAGGTAGGCGACGTCTGGCCAGGTAGGTGACGTCTGGCCAGGTAGGTGACGTCTGGCCAGGTAGGTGACGTCTGGCCAGGTAGGTGACGTCTGGCCAGGTAGGAGACGTCTGGCCAGGTAGGGACGTCTAGTCAGGTAGGGACGTCTAGTCAGGTAGGGACGTCTGGCCAGGTAGGGACGTCTGGTCAGGTAGGGACGTCTAGTCAGGTAGGGACGTCTGGCCAGATAGGTGACGTCTGGCCAGGTAGGTAACGTCTGGCCAGGTAGGGACGTCTGGCCAGGTAGGCCACGTCTGGCCAGGTAGGTGACGTCTGGCCAGGTAGGTGACGTCTGGCCAGGTAGGTGACGTCTGGCCAGGTAGGTGACGTCTGGCCAGGTAGGTGACGTCTGGCCAGGTAGGTGACGTCTGGCCAGGTAGGGACGTCTAGTCAGGTAGGGACGTCTAGTCAGGTAGGGACGTCTGGCCAGGTAGGGACGTCTGGTCAGGTAGGGACGTCTAGTCAGGTAGGGACGTCTGGCCAGATAGGTGACGTCTGGTCAGGTAGGGACGTCTGGCCAGGTAGGGACGTCTGGTCAGGTAGGGACGTCTAGTCAGGTAGGGACGTCTAGTCAGGTAGGGACGTCTGGCCAGGTAGGGACGTCTGGTCAGGTAGGGACGTCTGGCCAGGTAGGAGACGTCTGGCCAGGTAGGGACGTCTAGTCAGGTAGGGACGTCTGGCCAGGTAGGTGACGTCTGGCCAGGTAGGGACGTCTAGTCAGGTAGGGACGTCTAGTCAGGTAGGGACGTCTGGCCAGGTAGGGACGTCTGGTCAGGTAGGGACGTCTAGTCAGGTAGGGACGTCTGGCCAGGTAGGGACGTCTGGTCAGGTAGGGACGTCTAGTCAGGTAGGGACGTCTGGCCAGGTAGGTGACGTCTGGCCAGGTAGGAGACGTCTGGCCAGGTAGGTGACGTCTGGCCAGGTAGGTGACGTCTAGCCAGGTAGGTGACATCTGGCCAGGTAGGTGACGTCTAGCCAGGTAGGTGACGTCTGGCCAGGTAGGTGACGTCTAGCCAGGTAGGTGACGTCTGGCCAGGTAGGCCACGAGGACCCATAAACCTCCAGCGACTCTCGTAATGTTGTGTAAAGTGCTGGTGTGTGGCTTTTAGTTTGGTCTACACACACCTGCTAGCTGGAAGGCTCACAGTTTATATACACCTGCTGGAGAGGGAGTTCCATAAGGTATATACACCTGCTAGGAGGAAGGTTCACAAGATATATACACCTGCTGGGGAAGGAGCTTCATAATGTATACACACACACCTGCTAGACGGAAGGTTCGAATGCAGTACACACCTGTCACCAGGAGTTCCACACGAGGTAATTACAACAAATCATACAGTACCAAATAAATAAACGTTTGAAAGGAATCAGATTATTATTGTTCTTGAGACAATAAAACCACTTTATAAATGATCGAAATAAGACAACAAGAAATAATATTCTGGGGCTCCGGATAGATTCATCACAGACGTGAATTGTAAACCAACTGATGCGGGTAAATATATGAATGGTAAGAATGAATGCACTGACAGATATAAGAAGAGTGTCAAGAATGCACTGACAGATATAAGAGAAGCATCATAAATGAAATGACAGATATAAGGAAAGTGTCATGTATGCACTGACAGATATAAGAAGAGTGTCAAGAATGCACTGACAGATATAAGAGAAGCATCATAAATGAAATGACAGATATAAGGAAAGTGTCATGTATGCACTGACAGATATAAGAAGAGTGTCATGAATGCACTGACAGATATAACAAAAGGCTCACAAATGCACTGACAGATATAAGGAAAGTGTCATGTATGCACTGACAGATATAAGAAGAGTGTCATGAATGCACTGACAGATATAACAAAAGGCTCACAAATGCACTGACAGATATAAGGAAAGTGTCATGTATGCACTGACAGATATAAGAAGAGTGTCATGAATGCACTGACAGATATAACAAAAGGCTCACAAATGCACTGACAGATATAAGAAAAAGCGTCATCAATGCACAGGCCGGTTCATACCTGCAGTTCGTACCTGTTCTTGGCAGATTCGTGCGCCGTAAACATGACCGTATCGCCCAAAATAATTCTGAAGAGCAATTATAGTACAACACACGTCGACGAATTCGCTATAGTAATAAGCTTGGTAACCCTTACACCGGGAGATCACTCTGCTCCCAGGTAAACACATTGCAGTGTAATATATATGTATATATATATCATATACATGCATATATATACCTAGGCCCATACGAGGGTGGCAAAGCTATACGGGCTGTTAACACCGTAACAGAATCGAGACTCTAGCCCCAGATCATTTGATATTCCCAATTTTCTGAAGGGAACATCAAAATCATTTGATCATCAGACGAGGGAGTGGGGAATGATGGGAAGGACGAGGGGATGGATGGACGTCCATTTACTATCCTCGTATAGATTCCCCTTATTATGAAAAATAACATTTACGCCGCCACTGACAAACTCGCTTGTACTAATATCTTGAAGGTTATCTTGAAATGATTTCGGGGCTTTAGTGTCCCCGCGGCCCGGTCCTCGACCAGGCCTCCACCCCCAGGAAGCAGCCCGTGACAGCTGACTAACTCCCAGGTACCTATTTACTGCTAGGTAACAGGGGCATTCAGGGTGAAAGAAACTTTGCCCATTTGTTTCTGCCTCGTGCGGGAATCGAACCCGCGCCACAGAATTACGAGTCCTGCGCGCTATCCACCAGGCTACGAGGCCCCTAAGGTGGAATATGAATACAAATGCATTTCTGGGAGGCGGTGCAGAACATGCTACACCAGCCACACTACTTACAATGTAAGTAGGCGTCTCATACTTCAGTTACAGGAAGGAAAGAACAAAACAACACTACTTGATACTCCTCGACATCTTCCTGATTCATCAGAACATCGTCCAAATCACCACGATCATCGTAGGCTCACTAGTGACCGTAGGAGGCAGCGACACATGAAATCATCAAAGTTCGTGAGCTTGCCCAATTGATTAACACTCAGTATGAACTTGAATGGGCACCATTCCATCCCGCCCTTCCTGTCCCATCCCCAAATCCTTATTCTGATCCTTTCCCAGTGCTATATAGCCGTATTGACTTGGCGCTTTCTGTTGATAAGAGAAAGTTCCCTTCAATATAAACATGATATCAAGCCTTCAACTGTTTGTCAGAGCTCCTTCTGCCGAGAGGGAAGAGTCTAGCTAAATTGCATTCATTTCATTCACTTCTACTCTGCCATAGAAACTACTGACAGGGGGCCACCGAAATCCCTCTGATAATGCCAGGCCATGTAGTAAAACTGTGAAATGAACTTTATTCCTAAGCTTAGTAGTTATCCTGGAATCTTTAAAAGGAATAAAAGTTTGCTTCTGTTTCCTTGAAGCAGTCTTCGACGAGGTCTTCAGTGGGCGATATGGCTTCCTGGTCTTCGTCTCCAGCAAGCGGGTCTTCTGCGGCTGTAAATTCAGAGAGTTTCTGAAGCTTCGTAGGCCTGAAGCGTCGTAGGCCTGAAGCGTCGTTGGCCTGAAGCGTCGTAGGCCAGAAGCGTCGTAGGCCTGAAGCGTCGTAGGCCTGAAGCGTCGTTGGCCTGAAGCGTCGTAGGCCTGAAGCGTCGTAGGCCTGAAGCGTCGTAGGCCTGAAGCGTCGAAGGCCTGAAGCGTCGTTGGCCTGAAGCGTCGTAGGCCAGAAGCGTCGTAGGCCTGAAGCGTCGTAGGCCTGAAGCGTCGTTGGCCTGAAGCGTCGTAGGCCTGAAGCGTCGTAGGCCTGAAGCGTCGTATGCCTGAAGCGTCGTAGGCCAGAAGCGTCGTAGGCCTGAAGCGTCGTTGGCCTGAAGCGTCGTAGGCCTGAAGCGTCGTAGGCCTGAAGCGTCGTAGGCCTGAAGCGTCGTTTCCGGAGGAGAATAATTCCTAGTTCTGACCTTTGCTCGCACTCTCCACTCTCCTGTATATTTTTCCTTTTGTAGAGCATTTTTCTGTATCTTATGACATTATATATAATATATATTTTCCTCGGTCTACATATCCGTGAATTTTCGCTTCTTAATGAAGATGTATCAATAATGGATCATGAGACACAGAGGAGGACTAGGAGGGGTAACCGGCGGTGCCCGGGACAGTCTGTTTCTTCTCCCACAATCCATTTCACCCTTCTCCTTTTCCCTCTCTCTTCATATCCCCATTCTTCTCTCCCTAGGCCTGCTTTCTCTCCCTAATCCCACTTTCTCTCCCATCCCCCTATCCCGCTCTTCTTCCCACTCTCCCTCTTCACCATCATCATCTCTCCAACCTAGAACAGATAACTATTTCCATTTATATTTAAAGAAAACTGAACCAATGCGCGGGTAAACGGCAGGAGTAATGTTAAATGTCCTGGAGCCGTGGATAATTCCTAATATTTCTTATATCATTAAACTTACGCCTATACCGACTAGCCTATGTCCGTCCCGTACCCCAGACTATTTCTCCTACAAATTTGGGTGAGGCTAGCCCCAAGCATCTGACCTCTAACTTTGGACAAACAGACATTATTACTCTGGGATCATGAAGCATTCATAAGATTATTACTTAGGGTTCAAGAGGTATCTATAGGAGCATTACTAAAGGATCTTGAAATGCTTATATTGGAGAATTGCCTTATGCCTCACACGAGGCATATACATATATATATATATATATATATATATATATATATATATAATATTATATATATATATATATATATATATATATATATATATATATATATATATATATATATATATATATATAGGAGCATTACCAAGATATGAAATGACTGCTAGCCTCTGGGTATAGCCAGAGATGAATGCGCTGTACACCCAAGATAACAATGAGAGCTTAAGTCTTAAAACGTTGTAGCCACATTCTTAAAACATTTCTATTACGTTCCTAAAACGTATCGGTTACGTTTTTTTATAACGTTGCGGTTACGGTCTTAAAACATTGAGGGAAACCTTCTCAGAATGATGTAGTTACGTTCTAAGAACGACGCGGGGTACCTTGTGGGTCTGCTGGGAATATATGCCTTATAAAACTGAAAGTCAGCTTCTTCCTGTTTGTTATGCGTCGTTCATGATGACCTGGGGAGGGCAGCCACATGTTTTATGCAGCGGGAGCACCCTGAATGGTGTCATACGGCCGTGACACGCAGCGGGAGCACCCTGAATGGTGTCATACGGCCGTGACACGCAGCGGGAGCACTCTGAATGGTGTCATACGGCCGTGACACGCAGCGGGAGCACTCTGAATGGTGTCATACGGCCGTGACACGCAGCGGGAGCACCCTGAATGGTGTCATACGGCCGTGACACGCAGCGGGAGCACTCTGAATGGTGTCATACGGCCGTGACACGCAGCGGGAGCACTCTGAATGGTGTCATACGGCCGTGACACGCAGCGGGAGCACTCTGAATGGTGTCATACGGCCGTGACACGCAGCGGGAGCACCCTGAATGGTGTCATACGGCCGTGACACGCAGCGGGAGCACTCTGAATGGTGTCATACGGCCGTGACACGCAGCGGGAGCACCCTGAATGGTGTCATACGGCCGTGACACGCAGCGGGAGCACCCTGAATGGTGTCATACGGCCGTGACACTTGCCATTCACTTAAGCACTAAGATGAGTGACCGTTTTCAATCTAATAGAAGGGCCGCTCTACTGTTTTTTTTTCCAGGATCCAGCAATAGTCTTGATCAAGGTGTAGTTGACCAGACCACACACTAGAAGGTGAAGGGACGACGACGTTTCGGTCCGTCCTCGACCATTCTCAAGTCGATTCTCGCAATCGACCTGAGAATGGTCCAGGACGAACCGAAACGTCGTCGTCCCTTCACCTTCTAGTGTGTGTGGTCTGGTCAACTTACTTTAGCCACGTTATTGTGACTCATCGCCTGCATCAAGGTGTAGATTTTTGCCCTTCGTTCAGGACTCAAAAAGGGTCTTGTTCATAATTCCAGAACTCAGCCTACCCTTCTTAATCAGTCCTTCGTGTTGCACTGCTTTGCTTTGGTCAAAATTAAAGCTTTTGGTCATAAGCTTTGATAAAGTCAAAATACACAATGTCACAATTCTTTCCATTATCAACCGCCTCAAATCTGCTGGACTTGAACGAAAGTCAATTTATCAAACATGTGCAGCCGGTAGTATAATCATGCTCTGAATCATTTGTTAATATATGCTTTTCAACATGAAATCTAATAAGTTTTGCGTTTATCAATTCAAGCAATTTTCCTCACAATAGACGTTAATCTAATTGGCTGATATCTCGATGCAAGTGATTCCTTCTTAAAAATGGGCACCACATTGGCAACCTTCCACAACTTCAGTACTCTGCTCGACTCTAATGAATTATTAATTATGCAAAACAGGAGCTGAAACAGCTCTTCTTTCCATTCTTTAAGCACCCTGGCAAATACACTTTCCAGTGAAACTAGTTAACCAGTAAAATTAGTTAGATTTCCTAACAAATGACAAATTGTTGATCTTGATTGACTTCCCCATATTTGATCCTTTTGTATAAAGCTTTTCTTTTAGATTTAAGTTTTTTTAGGCTCATAGTTATCCATTTGGGGTCATTATTATTATTCAGTCTAATAAATTTATAAGTTACACACGATCTTGGGTTTTGCTAAGAATAATTTCAAATGTTATAATTTGAATCTATATCGTAAGATGTAGCAAGATGTGGTAACATCGTAAGATAGCCTTAACTACCTGTTCTTACCCTTCAAGAACAGGTCCCATGTTGAGGACTGTCCAGTCTATCATCCAAAAGAAACTCATTAGTTCACCTAAATCAGATTTTCGGAACTCTGGCACCATAACAGATTTTCTCCTGCACATCTATTCTGTTCAATGATAATTCTGATTTCTTTGTAATCACTGTTTCTTAGCTCACTCCCGGTTATCGAAGGCATTTATTTGTGTATCGAAGGCGAAGTGAAGGGGGAGCAAACGCCAAGCCATTACGACTATGTGGCACCTGGAATGGATCAGGATAAGGATTTGGGATAGGAGTGGAGTTGGGAAAGGAAGTCTATGAAGGAAAAAGATTCACTCACAGAGCTCATACCTGTTGACATATGACCTCTTCTCGAACAGCGCTTCTCTTATGTCTTCTGTTCAAACCTGCACCCATGTAAATGTTTTACCCATTTACTACGAATATCACTAATTACCATACCCTAAGCACGTATACTAATCTAGGCCAAATTTGATGTATCGAGTTGTGATATATATACATCATCACTACTCTGGCATCGTTGGGCCTCTTATCTACACACTTCTCTATTCTCTAATTCCTTCCCTATACCCTCCCTCACTACCTTCCCTGCCCATCACTATCTTCCCTGCCCATCATCATCTTCCCTTCCCTTCACCACCTTCCCTACCCTTCAACACCTTCCCTGCCCATCACCATCTTCCCTACCCTTCAACACCTTCCCTGCCCATCACCCACCTTCCCTACCCTTCAACACCTTCCCTGCCCATCACCATCTTCCCTACCCTTCACCACCTTCCCTGCCCATCAACACCTTCCCTACCCTTCACCACCTTCCCTACCCTTCACCACCTTCCCTGCCCATCACCCACTTACCCGCCCCTTCACCATCTTCCCTACCCTTCACCACCTTCCCTGCCCATCAACACCTTCCCTACCCTTCACCACCTTCCCTACCCTTCACCACTTTCATTGCTCTTCACCACGTTTCCGACCATTCACCACCTGTACTTTTCACCACATTCCCTTCATCCCTGTAACCGTCTTCACTAAACACGTTTCATCAATAAAGACAGACTAACATTTAATGATCCTGCAATAAAGCAATATGGTAAATTGTTAGCAAGTATTAAGCCTTGTTTTTAGCGAGACTAAAGTAATTGGACCCCGACCCGCCTACGACCAGCCCCGCCAAAAGACTAGTTTCCCTGCAAAGTTTGACGATACTAGCACTAAGCGTTTGGCCTCCAACATACACAGTACACAGTAAGATAAAATCTCAGCCTACACTGACAAGCTCAGTCTACAATGACAACCTCAGCCTACACTGACGACCTCAGCCTACAATGACAACCTCAGCCTACACTGACAACCTCAGCCTACAATGACAACCTCAGCCTACAATGACAACCTCAGCCTACAATGACAACCTCAGCCTACAATGACAACCTCAGCCTACAATGACGACCTCAGCCTACAATGACAACCTCAGCCTACAATGACAACCTCAGCCAACAATGACAACCTCAGCCTACAATGACAACCTCAGCCAACAATGACAACCTCAGCCAACAATGACAACCTCAGCCTACAATGACAACCTCAGCCAACAATGACAACCTCAGCCTACAATGACAACCTCAGCCAACAATGACAACCTCAGCCTACAATGACAACCTCAGCCTACAATGACAACCTCAGCCAACAATGACAACCTCAGCCAACAATGACAACCTCAGCCTACAATGACAACCTCAGCCTACAATGACAACCTCAGCCTACAATGACGACCTCAGCCTACAATGACAACCTCAGCCTACAATGACGACCTCAGCCTACACTGCTGTAATACTACCATGCCAATAAGTTTAGCAATGATGAAAATGTTGCAAGAGGAAAACAGATGACATTTCCACTGAAGGAGGATCGTACGTGTCTATTTGTTCTAAGGTGTCGCTTTTGTCCTTGTAACACCTGTTGTCCCTGCAACACCTGTTGTCCCTGCAACACCTGTTGTCCCTGCAACACCTGTTGTCCTTGTAACACCTGTTGTCCTTGTAACACCTGTTGTCCCTGCAACACCTGTTGTCCTTGTAACACCTGTTGTCCCTGCAACACCTGTTGTCCCTGCCACACCTGTTGTCCCTGCAACACCTATTGTCCCTGCAACACCTGTTGTCCTTGTAACACCTGTTGTCCCTGCAACACCTGTTGTCCCTGCAACACCTGTTGTCCTTGTAACACCTGTTGTCCTTGTAACACCTGTTGTCCCTGCAACACCTGTTGTCCTTGTAACACCTGTTGTCCCTGCAACACCTGTTGTCCTTGTAACACCTGTTGTCCCTGCAACACCTGTTGTCCTTGTAACACCTGTTGTCCTTGTAACACCTGTTGTCCCTGCAACACCTGTTGTCCCTGCAACACCTGTTGTCCTTGTAACACCTGTTGTCCCTGCAACACCTGTTGTCCCTGCCACACCTGTTGTCCCTGCAACACCTATTGTCCCTGCAACACCTGTTGTCCTTGTAACACCTGTTGTCCCTGCAACACCTGTTGTCCCTGCAACACCTGTTGTCCCTGCAACACCTGTTGTCCCTGCAACACCTGTTGTCCCTGCAACACCTGTTTTCGTCTTGGGGTTTGGATTGACTGATTGCATGCACGAACCACTGCTCTACTCCCTCTCCGTTTTCGTGTATTTAAATATTCAAAATCTAAATTCAAATAACGAAAATTTAAATTTTGCAAATATATAAAATGCGCCATTACACGTTCATCTCCTGGAACTTGTAAATGCAACTAGCACTTTATTTATTTTTTTCACCTGAAGAATTAAAGCATTCAGATATCTTCACAATGATATAGGAAAGATAACACAATAATTAGCGAGCCATCAGATGTTAAATATCAGTTAAGTGTTCAGAAATACAGTGTAGACTGTACTGTAAGAACTCTTGTATATATACAAAATAAGAATAAATAAAATACAAATTATAATCCCGGGGTGAAGAAACGTCTTATCTATCGGTGCTTCAGACCAGCACAAAATTATGAATAGAAAACTTAAATCCGTGTTGAGAGGCGAGACCGCTCCGAGCACACGAGCCTCCGCTACCTGCGTGCCGAACACGACAAAAGTCGGGTTCAGAAATGCTGCAATTAAGCCACCGAGGAGGAAAACATTCCATTACAGGCTGGGGGTAGGTCGAGGGCAGGTCCAGAGCACGTCAGTCTATAGTCGCTTGTTGGAGCATCATCGCTACTCCTCTCTTGGGGATGGTGGATGCTGCGAGAAAGACTGAGCTCGGATCGAATGAGCTCACGACATCTTGGCCCCCATACAACTCGTCTTTCCGTTAGTCTGTCCAATAACGGGGGCCAGATGCTACGGGCTAGCCTCACTCAAATTTTCAGGGACAATGGTCTGGGGTATGGGACTGACATAGGCTGGTTGGGATGGATCTAAGCAAAATGCTTTAAGAATTTTTTAGAATTTACAGCGACCCCCCCCCTATGCGATTTCATGGAGTCAAGTGTGAAATATTTTAGGCATTTCTCATAGAGTGTTTCATAATAATAATAACAAGTCTAAGAGACCTATATAGTACTTACAGTGTTTAAGAACTTCTTAATTAAAAGATTTTTGAGAGAAGGCGGAGAGGAGGGGAAGTGGAGGAAGAGGGGGGGAAGTGAGGGGGGAGGAAGAAAGGAGAGGGGGAGGGTAGGGAGAAAGGGGAGAAGAGGGAATGGGAAAAAGGAGAGCGACGAGGGGCAGGGGAAATAGGGAAAGGGGGTGAAGAGGGATGGAATGTGGGTGTAGAGAGAGAGAGAGAGAGAGAGAGAGAGAGAGAGAGAGAGAGAGAGAGAGAGAGAGAGAGAGAGAGAGAGAGAGAGAGAGAGAGAGAGAGAGACGGAATATTCCAGGCACAGCCGAATACCGCTTCTATTTTCTTTAAAAGAGAATGTGTGTGTGTGCGTTCGAGGCTGGGGGCCAGGCGCTAGAGCCCAGCCTCACCAAACTTTGCAGGGTGATAGTCCGGGGACTGCCAATGGAAGGAAGGAAGGAAGGAATTATCAAGGGAAAGCGCCAAGCCATTTTGTCTATATAGCACTGGGAAGGGGTCAGGATAAAGATTTGGGATGGGACGGGGGAAAGGAATGGCGCCCAACCACTTGGTGAGCCGTCTGGGATTGAACGTCGACCTGCATGTAGCGAGACAGTCGCTCTACCGTCCAGCCCAAGTGGTTTGACAGAAATGGAGACTATATTTAGTGAAAACAGCTCCTAAATGTTCATTTACACATGTGTCTCATTTACACATGTTCATTTACACATGTGTCTCATTTACACATGTTCATTTACACATGTGTCTCATCTGTCTCACAACACACTCTTACCTGTCTCCAGACACTCTTACCTGTCTCAAGACACACTCTTAAATGTCTTAAGACACACTTTCCCCCCCCCTCTGGCAGCCATCATGCCTACCCTCTTCCACACCTCTGGGCGTTAATGCAGTCTCTCAGTAAACATCCATATCCTGATCCTTCGCTGGGAGCGTCGACAGGAGCGGAACCTCTTGAAAAAGGATCCAATTCCTCTTCCTCCCAGCTCCCCCCTCCCACCAAAATCGCACTGACAGCTCTCGCTTGCCCGTCGGAAGGTTTCTGTGGTGAAAAGATTGAAATGAAAAGGTGCTCCTTTTCCCCTCTCAATCCCTTTCCCGTGTGTGTGTGTGTGTGTGTGTGTGTGTGTGTGTGTGTGTGTGTGTGTGTGTGTGTGTGTGTGTTTACTTAGTAGTGCTTACTCTTCAGTTCCGGTTTGATAGATGTTTTAAATGTTAAATGTATATGCTTCTTGACATTCCACGAGTTTGTTTTATTAGTGAATTTCAAGTTTTTAAATGGTGTGGTTCCCTTCGTCGTCTCTGACTCAGTTTGCTTCTGTTTGTTTTATCGCTTAGCACGAGATAATTTTCCATACACTACATATAAAGTATACATAACACAACACTCACTAGGAACATGCTGGTATATAATACCAAAATCCTGGTCTCTACCACTGGCCAAAGAGAATTACAAAATCCTGGAAGCAATGCTTACAAGAGAAAAGAGAACAACCTTAAATATACAGAGTAACGACTTCGCTTCCTTGCCAACACTAAGACCTAGACTTCACCAAACATCACTCTATAATGACGTCTCTACTGAAGCCCCACTAGAGTTTTACCCAATGCCTTACCCAATGTTTGACTGCCCCGACCCCATTTGATTGGCCCTAACCCACCTCTTATTTGCCTATGTTAGTTGTCCCTATAACTTTACCCTACCGTACCCGGACCCACACATCTTCGACTCTCTCATGTGAATTTAACCAAAAGATGTACATCATGTTTTCATTCTTTATCCGAATATGTTCCTTAGAGGAACGAAACGTTGTAGAAAATACCTCCTTCAATAATTACTAAGAGTTTTTCTTCCATGAATGTTTGGTAACTTGATTGCTCTTCTCAAGATTGATACTAAGATAATAGAAGTATACAAAGCTTACACAGTAAGAACACCACCAGCAACGCAGTTATATTAAATCAAATATGCATAAAAGAATGTCTGCTGCCCAAGTATATTAATGCATATGGGATCTGAACGCCTGTTAATAAGAGTAATGGTACTGACAAAGACCCGTCCATGTTGGCTAACTCCCCTACATTAGTCACCATGCAAAGTCGAGCGAGGCTAACTCAAAGCGCCTGGCCTCCAACCTTGGATAGACATATAAACAATCAGACCTTCTCGATTAAAAATATTAATTTATTTTAATTTAGGGGGAGATTAATATATCCACTTGATCAATCTTGATTGATCACGATTGATCAAGAGAGAATTAGAAATATCACCAGATTGTTGTAAAATATCAAGACTGTTTGATGTCACACATACGACGAACATTATTTTTGTTGACTTTTTTTAAATGATTCAGTTGAACATTTATTTTCTCTAAATTACAGTCATTGAAGCAGAATTTTGAGAGCATCAACGTATTTGAAGTTTCATTCAATAGTGAATACTGAGATGCACCTCGTAAGGTTAGGAATGGTTTGCTAGAATAAAATGAGTTGGGTTGAGTTTGGCTGGGGTTGGGTTGGTTAGATTGGGAAAGGATAGATTAACTTAGGATGGGGTAGTTGACGTCAGGTTAAGATGAGTTAGGTTGGGTTTGATTGAGTTAGGTTAGGATGAGTTAGGTTGGGTTAGGATAAGTTAGATTGGGTTAGGATGAGTTAGGTTGGGTTTGGTTGAGTTAGGTTAGGATGAGTTAGGTTGGGTTTGGTTGAGTTAGGTTAGGATGAGTTAGATTGGGTTAGGATGAGTTAGGTTGGGTTAGGATGAGTTAAGTTAGGATGAGTTAGGTAGGGCTGCGTCAGTTTGTGTTGAGTAAGGTTAGTGGCTGTATAAAAAGCGTCTCAGTGACGTAGTGGGCTACATACATTTCCTCAGGTTTTAGACCCTAGAATAAATTGTTGGAAGAGAGGAAAGTGGGCAAGGATGTGGTGAGCCAAAGTGGGTTGAGGGCAGGGAAAAGTTGCAAGGTCGGAGAGCCTGCTGTGAGATCCAGCAATATCAACCTTAGCGCCGACAGATGTTGAGATTCAATAATCAATATGGAGTGCCTGGAGCAGCTTGACGAGGTGGGGGAGAGGGGAGAGAGTAGGTGGGGGAGAGGGGGAGAGAGTGGGTGAGAGAGGGGGAGAGAGTGGGTGGGGGAGGAGGGTGGAGAGAGTGGGTGAGGGGGGGTGAAGAGAGGGGGTGTTACACAACCTCTGACACACCCTGTTTAATTACAGGTGTTTTTAATTAGGCACTGCATCCTTTTCTCTTTCAGGTGTTGGGGCCAAGGTGGGGTAAAGATGCTGGGGAATGGGGAGGGGAATGGGGGTGAGGGGGCGGGAGATAGGTGATTGGGGTCGTAGTGATGGTATCAGATAGTGGGGAATGATGGGGGATGATAAGGGTGGTAGTGGTGGTGGTGGTGGGGGTACTTTTAGTGCTTTCGTATCTGTGGTGGTTTCCTATTAAGTACGAACAGTGAAACAAGACAATATATGCCCCGCCTGCTTGCCTTGTTGGGTGCCCTGTGGGGTTAAAGTTGAACTATTCTGACCTTCAAATTCAGAATCTGGTCTTAAAGTTGTGGGTGGAGGTGGCTTCCCCAACTTCTTCCCTCTAAGTGTAATCCACTTGTTTGAGCACTCGTAAAGGGTGTACGAGTACCTTCCATTTATGGGGTAGACAACTTTGCAGGTCTGCGTTCAATCCCCGACCGTGCAAGTGGTTGGGCACCATTACTTTCCCCCCGTCTCATCCCAAATCCTTATCCAGATCCCTTCCAAGTGCTATATTGTCGTAATGGCTTGGCGCTTTCCCCCTGATAATTCCCTTCCCTTCTCTTTCCCCATTATTGGAACTAAACTCCAGGAACAATCTGCTTGATCACTCCTCGAGTGTGTCAAGGTCCTGCTGTACATATATTTAAAATTACCCCCCCCCATATATTTATTTACAAATTTATTTCATATAAATGATTGTTCAATCATTGTAATTATTTGTAATTAATTAAAATTAAATTAATTAATTACTAAGAATTACAAGTAAAATTAATTACTAAGAGCGTCTTAGCTGCATCTCTAACAAGGTCTCATTTTCTAATGGGGTGATTCTTAACTGCTGATTCTTTTTACAGTCGAAGAAAGAGTGACTGACAGAATACTAATTTGATATTCCAGTCAAATACAACACCAATCTCTCAAGCAAATACACGACCCGATGTAATGGCTTCACCCCTGTACCTATGGCTCCTATGGGAGCCGGTCGGCCGAGCGGACAGCACGCTGGACTTGTGATCCTGTGGTGCTGGGTTCGATCCCAGGCCCCGGCGAGAAACAATGGGCAGAGTTTCTTTCACCCTATGCTCCTGTTACCTAGCAGTAAAATAGGTACCTGGGTGCTAGTCAGCTGTCACGGGCTGCTTCCTGGGGGTGGAGGCCTGGTCGAGGACCGGGCCGCGGGACACTAAAGCCCCGAAATCATCTCAAGAATTTCAACATGGCAGGTAGTCAATACCTGGTAACCTTCGTGTACCAGGCAACCAATGGGGAAGGGAGAATGAGGGGAGGGGGTGGGGTAGAAATAGCCTAAGCTACTCTATCCCTTTGAGATGTATTTCTTTCTTATCTCAATAAACATACTTAAACTTGAAGGGAGAATGGGGACTTGTTCAAGAGAACTGTTTCTTCAAACGGTACAGTCAGTATTCCTGTCCCGTTTTCTAATTTCGTCGCATTGAAAGAGGTAATTATCAGGGGGAAAGCGCCAAGCCATCACGACTATATAGCATTGGGAAGGGAGTCAGGATAGGGATTTAGGATGAGACGGGAAAGTGGGGGGGGGGAGGAAGGAGTGGTGCCCAACCACTTAGATGGTTGTGGATTGAACGCCGACCTGCATGAAGCGAGACCGTCGCTCTACCGTCCAGCCCAAGTGGTTGGGCTTCCTTGCACCTGACTAGACCTAGCTGGGATACCGACATTGCTCGTCGCTTTTCAAAATCCACTACGGGATCACCATAGCCCGTGCTACTTGGAACGCTTTATTCCCAGTAGCTGAACCTAGAACAACATCGTCTCCTTACGTGTTCCGTCTGTGGGTAGATGTTCTGTAAATCTATTTCAATAAATCCCTACATGACTAAGGTCCCAGTTAATTATAACTTTTCTTCTTTGTTACCAAAAGTTTTTTGGGAAGTTGAGGGCAGTGAAGTGATTAAGTTAATATTACCTCATGGTCTAAGGCTTCTTTGGGTTTTAATTGGTTGTTTTGGAGTTGATATGGTTGTAGTGGTTCCAAGTTTTGCTGATGGTACTATTAGTATGAGTAACAACGGTGCTAATAAACTATTGGTGCTAGTATGAATAGGGGTGGGGCATTGGGGGGGGGGATTTGGGGGGGATTTGGGGGGATTGAGGGGGGATTGGGGGGGGGGGGGGAGATTGACGAGGGGGAATTGATGATGTAACTAGTGTTGATTGTTGTAGATACAGCTCCTCGGAAGAAAAAAGTTGCAAGTAGCACGGGCTATGGTGATCCCGTAGGGGGACTGGCTTGGCCCAGGCGCGGGGCTGTAACTTGTAATGTACATGTTATTAACGGCGATAGGTTGTGCATGCAATGACGAAGCGGCAACAAAGGGCCAAGTACAAAGTGCTAACCAAACCTAGCCTAACCTAGCTAAATGCCTTGATTTTAGGCCACTAGGACAGATTTCTAAAAATGTAATATTATAAATTTTCTAACATATATTGAGGAGCTCGTGTATTTAGTTAAAAATAATTTGTTTTTAGCACGCCTCATATTGTCAACAACACCATATGACACTGCTCGACTTAGAGCTGTCGCAGCTCCCCATGCAGGTTACTTCCTATTAGCATCCCTGTTTTCGATGTTTTGAAACTATAGTGGCCCAGTGACGCAAATTAATACAGGTAAACATCTCCTGTCTTTATGAGTAAGAACGCAGGGGGTATCAAAGCAAAGGAGATTGAAAAACCATGATGACGCAAATTGGGAAAACAACCCCCCCTCCACTTCCTCCACGGTGCGGAGAGAGCAGCAGCAGCAGCAGCAGCAGCAGCAACAGCAGCAGCAACAGTAGCAACAGCAGCAGAAGCAGCAGCAGCAGCAGCAGCAACAGCAGCAGAAGCAGTAGCAACAGCAGCAGCAGCAGCAACAGCAGCAGCAGCAGCAACAGCAACAGCAGCAGCAACAGCAGCAGAAGCAGCAGCAGCAGCAACAGCAACAGCAGCAGAAGCAGCAGCAGCAGCAGAAGCAGCAGCAGCAGCAGCATCAGCAACAGCAGCAGAAGCAGCAGCAGCAGCAGCAGCAAAGATCATACCCCAGCGACGGGCCAATGAAAACATTCCGATATAAAAGGTCCACGAGTGAGGCATGTCAGACCGAGGCAGGCAGAAAGACACGAACTAAAACACAGGGAGTAATGACCTTACCACCTGTCTCCATCCTACCTGTCACCTCTCCCCCGTCCCTGCCCGTCTAACCACATCCCTCCCGGTCACCCCTACCCGTCCACCCGTCCACTCCATCCTTGTCTTCCCTCCTCTGACGCCTTTCCCCCGTCTTCACTCATGCCTTATAATTCCTGTCCACGTGTGTGAGACAGAGAAGGTACTTTCCCTGTACCAGTACTCATTCTCACATGAGATTGAGTTTAGACAAGTTTCATGAGTTTCAGAATTTGAAAGTTTCAAAAACTCACATGAGTTTCTAGTTTAGAAAAACTAGAAATCACGTTATCCAAATCAGATTGAACGTTTGAAAGTTAGAAAGCTTTCTAACTTTCAAAAAGTTTGAAAGAAAGTTTGAAAGAAAGCTAATCACCTCCCAGAACAGAAACAACGTGTAAAGGATCTAGGGGGATAATATTATCTTAGACAGTTAGCCTCAAGATACATGTGTTCTGTTATCTTGAGATGATTTCGGGGTTTAGCGTCCCCGCGGCCCAGTCCTCGACCAGGCCTCTCGACCTGTAGATCGAGACAAGAAATCGATAGAGTGGATAATTGTGTGAGGTGCCCCCCCTCCATAAGCTGTAACCCCCATATAAGCTATGGGGGATTACATGCGCCCCCCCCCCATACAGCTGTAACACAGAAACTCTTCCCCTATGAAAGAATTGAACCCCCAGACTAACCAAGTAGCAGTGACCATTAGCTTCCAATAACGCCAGCTAATGGTCACAGATTATACATATGTTCTCCCAACTCAATCATACTTACTAGGGAAAACTCGAGCCCATATATACCACACACTTGCATAAACCACAAATTTAGGGTTTAAACTTGTAAACTTGTTTATGGGCTTCCTTGTAAACCACAAAGGGAGAACGACTGTCTAATCTGTCGCCATTAACTGGCGTCATTGGGCGCCGTAGTCGTAGAATAACCGCCTGACTTACAGTTCTTTTAATAATCTACTGTGGTGTAATGGTTAGTGTCCTGGCTGGCCACTTGAGTTCAATTCTCTCATAAGGAAAGAGTTTCTGTTCATATATATATATATATAAGTATAGCGGTAAGCCATCTCCACACGCCAGAGGACCTTACAACCTCTGCATGACCCGGCCCTGGTGCTCGCCCACACTAGGGTTGTGAAGGCTACTAAGAGCATTGCCAAAGTAAACATATACTCGGGCGGTAAAGTTTAATTTTGTGTCCGGGGAGGACTGTCTGGCTGGCTGTTAATGGAGCTTTTGCCTCACTGCGGCTGCGTAAATATAAGACTTTTACACACTTTCTAGGGAGGGAGGAAGGGAGGGAGGGAGGGAGGGGGAGGGAGAGATTGAGGGGGACGAGAGAGAGAGAGAGAGAGAGAGAGAGAGAGAGAGAGAGAGAGAGAGAGAGAGAGAGAGAGAGAGAGAGAGAGAGAGAGAGAGAGAGAGAGAAAGGGAAAAAGAGACTCAGAAACATTCATAGACAATCTTATCAAATAATGAAAGAAGTTCAAAAGTGGGTTATATCCAGATGGGAATCCGAAACTCGAAGAAAACTTGCATATGGAAGTTGCAAGGTCTGGAGGTCCCTGGTGAAGGACCGACAGGGACACTCATCTGAGGACCCAATCTCGCCTCTAAACCAAGAGGAACTGTTGCGACCACCAATCAGGAGAAGGCTAATCTACTGGCAAACCACTTTGCTGCCAAGATGCAGGTCCCTGATGCTGAACGTCAGCCTCCACATTTTGCCCCAAGCACTGTGTCTAGGTTGACTGAAGTGGTTATACAGCAGCCTGAAGTTCTCCATCTACTTAACACGCTAGACACAAGCTAAGCTGTAGGGCCAGCTAAGCAGCTGTGCTGACCAGTTGGCTCCACCTCTCACGTGCCTCTTCCAACTCTGCCAAGCTCAAGGAATGGGGCCCTCCTTATGGAAGAAGGCAGACTGGCCCCTTTTCCAGTACACAAAAAGAAGAGCCGCTCAGTGGTTGGTAACTATAGACCAATGTCACTACTCTTCATTATTGTCAAGATCCTAGAATCATTATTTGCTTAGCAAATTATATAATTTCTTTGATTATCATCGGCTAATATGTGATCGACAGTATGGTTTTAGAAAAGGCCGATCTGCTGCTGATCTCTTGTTAAATCTCTCTCCACTAAGTGGCATCAGTCACTGGATGAGTCCAAGATGAGCTGTGTTGTTGCTCTAGACACAGCAGGAACCTTTGATCGGGACTGGCACTCTGAATTAGTAGTGAAGCTGCAAGTACTAGGCATCTCAGGCTTTTTCTTAAGAGTTTAAAAAAGACTATCTTCAACAACGGACTCTAAGGGCAGTCCTCAATAGAGCAGAATCCGAAAGCCACTCAATAGGTGCCAGTGTTCGACAGGGTAGTGTGCTTGGCCCTCTGCTGTGGAATGTTTATATCAACGATCTACTTCGTCTCATTCCTAACTCTGACCTTCATATACAGAAAGGAAGAAATGCCAACTGCTGCAAGACTCATCAACCACCAACATTCACCGATTTCTACCTTGGGGAAGGATATGGCAGATCACATTTTCGGCCGAGAATACTCAAACAATGATGATAACTAGACTACACATGGCAGATCGGACGGGCCTGCAAGTGGGTGGCAAACCATGAAGTTCACAGATAAAACTGACATCTTGGGAATGAAGTTCGACTCTTCAATGACAACGAAAAACCACGTGCATAACCTAACTAAAAAGGCAGCCAGGAAACTTACAGCACTACGGCGCATTTCACATTTTCTTGACAGCAAGGGATGCAAAACGAGCACAAGTTCGTTCTCATCTTGAGTATGTACCCATTTCCTGGATCGCCTGCCCCCCATCATTCATCAGACTGTTGGACAAAGTGGAGAGAGAGTCAAGAAGGCTCATCTCTAGTCTTGACCAAGTCTGGTGGGAACGGTCTGAACATCAGAGCCTGCAACACCGTCGAGACGTTGGTGGTCTTACTGTTATATACAAGGCCAACATCCTCAAAGTTCTCCCCCTGACCCAACTCCGTGGACTACCAGTAGTTGATATCCGCAGAATTAAGCTCTCAACCTTCAACCGTCTCCTGCTGGAAGTGTCTTTCTCAAGAACATCACTCCATCAGCGATAATTCACTCCTATTTATTTTGTATTTATTTATTTATATATGCAAGAGTTCTTACGTTCTTGTACAGCCACTAGTACGCGTAGCGTCTCGGGCAAGTCCTTAATCCTATGTTCCCTGGAATACGACCCCGCGAAGAATTGTTAAACAACCAAGCACCCATTTTAGTGTTGGGTTAAACAGAGGCTACAGTTAAGGATTTGTGCCCAGTAAATCCTCCCCGGCCAGGATACGAACCCAGGACAAAGCACTCGTGAAACGCCAGGCGAATGTCTTAACCACTACGCCACGGAGACTTTATAAATCTAGGCTGACTCACATCTGGAACTTGTTCACTCAACAGGTTGATACACGGGAGATCAGGTCAACTGATCACATGAAGACTCTGGCACACAGTTGGCTACAGGTTCATCCTGTTCCTTATATGATTGTTACCTAATATTGTTAATGAATAAAGGCTATTCCTACTGATGTATATATCAGACTCATGAAATAAATGGGCCTCTAGGAGTAGGTTTACAGGTGTAATCCTTCTGAGGAAGGATTACAGCTCTTGCTTGAAGTTTCACCAGGTTCCTTATATGATAGATCCCTATGTGATAGTTTCAAAGTTCATTCTCACGAAATAAATGAGTTTCTAGGAGCAGACTTCAGATAAATTAAGGTAAGATAACAGCTCTGGCTTGCAGCTTCACTAGGTAAGTCCTTTCACAGCTCTTATGAACCTTATTCTTAATTAAAACAATAAAAGAGAGATAAAACAATAGATGAGAGAAGAATGGAGAAGTCAGTTGCCCCTCACAAGGATGAAGGTCGTATTAACAGGCTGACTGCACCAGTCACCATCAACAAGCTAACTACACCAGTCACCATCAACAAGCTAACTACACCAGTCACCATGAACAAGCTAACTACACCAGTCACCATCAACAAGCTAACTACACCAGTCACCATCAACAAGCTAACTACACCAGTCACCATTAACAAGCTAACTACACCAGTCAGCATCAACAAGCTAACTGCACCAGTCACCATCAACAAGCTAACTACACCAGTCACCATCAACAAGCTAACTACACCAGTCACCATTAACAAGCTAACTACACCAGTCAGCATCAACAAGCTAACTGCACCAGTCACCATCAACAAGCTAACTACACCAGTCACCATCAACAAGCTAACTACACCAGTCACCATCAACAAGCTAACTACACCAGTCACCATCAACAAGCTAACTGCACCAGTCACCATCAACAAGCTAACTACACCAGTCACCATCAACAAGCTAACTACACCAGTCACCATTAACAAGCTAACTACACCAGTCAGCATCAACAAGCTAACTGCACCAGTCACCATCAACAAGCTAACTACACCAGTCACCATCAACAAGCTAACTACACCAGTCAGCATCAACAAGCTAACTACACCAGTCAGCATCAACAAGCTAACTACACCAGTCACCATCAAGCTAACTACACCAGTCACCATTAACAAGCTAACTACACCAGTCACCATTAACAAGCTAACTACACCAGTCACCATCAACAAGCTAACTACACCAGTCACCATCAACAAGCTAACTGCACCAGTCACCATCAACAAGCTAACTACACCAGTCACCATTAACAAGCTAACTACACCAGTCACCATTAACAAGCTAACTACACCAGTCACCATTAACAAGCTAACTACACCAGTCACCATCAACAAGCTAACTACACCAGTCACCATCAACAAGCTAACTACACCAGTCACCATCAACAAGCTAACTACACCAGTCACCATCAACAAGCTAACTACACCAGTCACCATCAACAAGCTAACTACACCAGTCACCATTAACAAGCTAACTGCTTAAACACGAGAAAAGCGCAAATGTGAGCCAAAATTCCATAAATCAACACCTTGAGTAAATAAGTAAAGAAGGTTTAAAGACACAAGGAAAGAAAGAATTAGCGAGAGTAAACTTAGGAGGCAAAGAAGAAGAGAAGAAGATTAAGAGTGAAAGAACCATATTTATTTTTGAGAGAATGTGTGTGGGTGAGGAGAGGAGAATGACGATGGAGTGGAAAGAGTAATAAAGATGGGGAGTGAAGGGTAATAAAGAATGATGGTAAAAGGGGTGGGAGGGAACAGCGCACACATTAGAAGAGAGAGAGAAATAGGATGAAGGAGACAATAAAGAGGAAATAAATCAGTATGAAAGAAGCGCAAGAGCATGAAGTGTCCTCACCTAGTTGTGGTTGCTGGGGTTGAGCTCTGGCTCTTTGGTCCCGCCTCTCAACTGTCAATCCACCAAACACACACCGAAACTACGACGTTGGTACAACGTTCGAGCAAGTTTTAACACCACCTAACCAGTTATAACAACCAATATAGCAAGTTGTAACAACGTTCTAATACGTCATAAACACGTTAAGCCAAGATGTAACAACTTTATTTCAAGTTGTAACAAGCGGAAAATAGAGACAGTTTCGGTTTGTGTTTCCAGGGAATCAACTGGTGTACAGATTCCTGAGCCTACTGGGCTCTATCATATCTACAATTGAAACTGTGTATGGTGTCAGCTTCCACCACATCACTGCCTAATCCATAAGATTTGTTAACTACTCTGACACTGAAAAATTTCTTTCTAACGTCTCTGTGGCTCATTTGGGCACTTAGTTTCCACCTGTGTCCCCTTGTTCGTGTTCCACCCGTGTAAAGAGGTAATATGGGAAGAGAAAGGTGTAGTTGATGAATGAAATACAGAGAGAAAGAGGGAGAGAGAGAGAGAGAGAGAGAGAGAGAGAGAGAGAGAGAGAGAGAGAGAGAGAGAGAGAGAGAGAGAGAGAGAGAGAGAGAGAGAGAGAGAGAGATTCCAATTATAAATCAGAAATTTGGAAACATGGAAATAAATTAGAGAGAGAGCAAGAGAGGGAGAAAGAAGCGTTGATAAAGAGGACTGACAATAAACAAGACCAGATAAAAATAAGAGCGTAAGGAATTATCACAAAATAAGAGATGTAAGAGCAACTGCAAGAGAAAGTGTCAAAGAAGAGGGGCTGATGATGAAGGGAAAGAGAGCGAGAACGACTGGGAACAGAGGATACGAGCGAGGAGGTGCGGAACTCACGGAGGAAAAGAATATGGTAGGCAGCAGGAGAACATAGTAGGCAAGAGAAGAACAGGTACTCGTGAGAACAGGATACATGGAACATTGGACATACGACGAATACACAGAGTAGACGTCTCATTCTTCATTTGGAAGAGGAAGGTATTATGGAAAATTCTCGAACCATCCTGAATCGCCAAGACAGAGCGAATGATACGACAATAATCACATACACCGACGATCGTAGGAGCCATCCTACGCTTGAGGCTGTGTTCATTCGGGAGCTGACACCAGTAATGAACATCCAGATGAATTCGACTTCGAGCATACAACTGTTCGATGGTCCTCCATTGACCCAGAGGGAAGATGGGAAGAGGGAAGACCTCGCGGACAGCTAGAAGTCGGAGTAAGGCAACCACCTCGCCCTGTCCTTCGCCGCTCCCTACGATTAAGGGGGTTAGGTGAATTGTCGATCGAGGTGTACCCACACTTACATGTGTCTAGATTCATAAGACATTGAACAAGTTACAGCCCCGCTCCTGTGCCAGGTAAGTCCACTACGAGCTCACCATAGCTCGTGCTGCTTGGAACTCTTCATTCCCAGTAGCTGAATCTATAACACCAACAAGACATTGAGGTAGACATTCCAAGTAGCAAGGGCTCACCATAGCTCTTGCTACTTGGAACTTTTGTTCCGAGTAGCTGAATCTAAAACAACAACAACTCCTTGTAAGATCAGTATAGCTGTGTCAGTTCAACTCCTGAAGATGTCACAATGCTGACGAAACGTCGAACAACAAAATGGAAAGATGTAGTGTTTCTTCTCCCTCCAGAGTGAAGAAGATATTTGCGTAGAATGGAAAATATCCAATAGAAAACTAATAATAGTCACAATATATTATAATATATTGTGGTAGCAGTCTTTCTTGTAAACATATGTTGATGAATATGACCGAAAGGGTAAAATTAGTGATTCTAACACGAATCTTCTCAATATTTCTTATGTTTTTCTTTACTGTCGAGGGAAGTTGAAAAATTAACTCTCTAAAGTTCATTTTCACACTTTATTATAGTCTGACGCCTAGAGATGCGTTTCATAAGGTACTCCTTACATTCTCAAAGACAAGTTTACCGTGTTTAGCACCGGATTACATTTTCTTTCAATGACCTATTAGACCTCATTTATGAAGCCCAAACTTATTCTGGCAAGTTTGGGCTTGATATAGCAATATTTAAATAGCAATTGCCATATAACCTTCCTTTACACAATATAGGAAAAGGGACGTTGCCATGTTGTGCATCATTTAGACAATCTATGGCCGTCTTGGCAATGGCTAAGCAATTGCAGTGTCCCTTTCATGCTAAGAAAACAGAGGATATGAGTCGTTAGACAGTATGCTGCAACTACTGGTAAACCCAGTAGTATCCCTCCTGTATACCCCCTGTATATGGGTATACAGGAGGCGGGGAGAATGAGGGAGGGATGTGGTGGAAGAGAATGTGGAAGGGAGGTGAAAGGGGTATAACAGGATCCATGGAGTGACCAATGGCCACTATCACCCCCTATCCACTCATTATCACCATATATATATGCCCTCACTATTACCCATATCCTCACATTACCGCCACATATCCTCTCAGTCCACTACGAGCTTGATATATCCTCTCAATGAGCACATATCCTCTCATGAATGCCTTTAATAATCCGAAAAGCAATTTTTTTAAATAAATAAACTTAGACTATTGCGTCCCGAGTCAAAGGGTCTGCGGCCATAGAGGCAGTAATTAAGAGGAGGAAGAAGAGCATTAGACTGAGCGTTGCTTTTTCCTTCACTTAAGGTAAACTGAACCATTAGCGCTTTAGTACAGAGCCAGTGTAAACTCTTCCTTATGTCTATTACCTCATTCAGAATGCTATAAAATTGATTTTTAAATCAATTTCTAATTCACTATTTTAAAGTTCTATTTACAAATAATATTTACTTTATCTTTAAAGACAAATTTTTATGGAATTCATATAGTTTTTTTACGATGTAAAATTTAGCAATATTTTTTTTTATATAATTTTGCTAGAACATAACGGTAATTAATAGATCCGAAAAATTAAAATACTTTAATAAAAATAAACACAAACTATTCCAAAAGCACAAGAGTGTAGCTAATTACTCCCAGTTACTCTGGACTTTGTTATTCTTTTCTTAATTATTAGGTGCTTCTTTATGTGGTTGGGTACCATTCCTTTCCCCCGTCCCATCCCAAATCTTTATCCTGACCCTTCCCAGTGCTATATAGTCGTAATGGCTTGACGCAGTCTCCTGATAGTTCCCTCCCCTAACCATCACTCTATCCATCAATTACTCCATCTATGCCATCCATCTCTTTACTGTTTCTCTCTGTTTTTGCGTCTGTCTCTCTGTCTCATAACAAAAATATAATTGTCTAATGTGTGGGTGAGAAGAGCTTAGCCGTTTGAAATATTAAAAATAGATTAGTTACCCTCTTTTATTCTCAGAAAGTGGGCGTGGCTTAAGGAAACCTTTTTAAGTTCAGAGAGAATCCGTCTGTTTTATGCAAGTACGGGCAGATTATGAACAGCAGGAAGTTTCTATTAATTTTATCGAGATCAATGAATAATTAAAAACATTACTATAGGAACAAAAAAAATAATGGTTATATAATTTTTTCAAAGTATTTAGGTGTGTGTAGCCGGTGGAGGGCAGTGCCTGAAAATTGTCGTGGTTGGGGTCTAAATCTGACCATGGCACTCGCTTTTGAATTCTGGCGACCAGCCTATGTTCATCCCGTACCTTGGACTATTCCATTTTGTCAATTTGGTTGAGGCTAGCCACAAGCGTCTGGCTTTCAACTTTGGACAGAGAGACAGAAACAAAAGAGGACGGTCATTCTTTAAAGTATATTGTTTATGATGTCATGTATTTAAAACAATGTATTATTTGTCTGTTGGTATCTCTCAACAATATCTCTCTACTTGTCTTAATCACTTATTCCATTCATTCACAATTAGGTTGAGTGACCTTTTCGTTAATTTCTATTCCTACGAATAATATACTTGGTAAAATAAAAATAAGCTTCCCAAGTAAAATATTACTTGGGAAGCTTTTCTTTGGTGGACAACTTAAAGAGGAACTCATTTAGGTAACGCTTAAAAAAAGATGAAAATAAAAGAATCCGAATTGAAAATCTTCGTCCCGTCTTGAGTTCGTTAACCTTCTCATTTCTCTAAAAGGTTCCGTTGGGCCAGATAAGCCAATAACCAGTAAGGAACCTGAATTTTCGGGTTCGATCCCCGGTGGAGGCGGAAACAAATGGGCAGAGTTTCTTTCACCCTGCTGCTTTTCTTCACCAAGCAGTAAATAGGTACCTGGGAGTTAGGTAGCTGCTACGGGCTGCTTCTTTGGGGTGTAACAAAAAGGTGGCCTGGTCGAGGACCGGGCCACGGGAACGCTAAGCCACGAAATCATCTCAAGATAACCTCAAGATCCTAGCATGGAAGCAGCGAGGGATTCTGCCTATTGATGACAGAACGAGACACAGTGATGAAGGATTATGTCTCGTTCTGTCGTTTCATGTTTCATGTGTCATTGATTAAGCTTGTTTCAGACAAAAATCATTATCTCTGAATCCCTTGCTACTCAGCAACTTATGCCCAAGCGCGCGCACGCACGCACACACACCGGTTGATTGACAGTTGAGAGGCGGGATCAGAGAGCCAGAGCTCAAACCCCGCAAACACAACTAGGTGAGTACACACACACACACACACACACACACACACACACACACACACACACACACACACACACACACACACACACACGCACACATACAAACACGCCCGCATGCACACACGCACGCAAATACATTACCTCACAAGAGGTTACTGCCCAAACTTGAAAGGCAGGCTGAAGAAAACGGAAAAAATAGCATTAACATGCGCAAAGAATTCCCTAACAAACCGAAGTCAGAGAGTGGCTTCGTCACTCTCTGACGAGGAACGACGAGACCCACAGTGACGGTCAAGAGGCAACCCGTTCTCGCACTTGCTTACAGTCAATATGGGCTTATTTAATAAGTGCATATGTGACATACTAATTGATTGTGAATATTTTAGTTTACCTTGAAAAGCTTCATAGAAAACACCGACCTCACCTAACCTTCTTAGTATGTTAAGATAAGCATCTTATTGCTTCTTATTTACAATTATTACTTAACCTATACCGTTGATAGGTATAGGTTACCTATTAATATAACTCCTTGCAGGGGTAATATTAACCCCTGCAAGGAGGCCATTTTGAACAAATGCAATTTATGGTAACATGTAGGGGGCATTTTTGTTTAGAGGGCGGGGAGAGGGGGGGGGGTTGGTAGAGTCGGGCACATTCTAGTAACAAGTTAGGTGGATTCTGCACCAAGTATCGCACTACCACACGAAAGTGCAATTCTAGTTTTGATAAAGATGTTAAAAGGGAATTAACTGTCCTTAGCGTGAAACAGGGGGTACCTGGGTGTGCCCGGGGCACTCTCCTTCCACCTGTAATAACTAGAGTCTGTTTCTCCAACCACTTGGACTGGACGGTACAGCGACGGTCTCGCTTCATGCAGGTCGGCGTTCAATCCCCGACCGTCCAAGTGGTAGGGGTACCATTCCTTCCCCCCGTCCCATCCCGAATCCTTATCCTGACCCCTTCCCAGTGCTATATACCCGTAATGGCTTGGCGCTTTCCCTTGATAATTCCTTCCTTCCTTCTTGTATCTCTGTCTCTGTGTGTCTGTCTCTGTATGTCTCTCTCTTTCTATTAATCTGTCCGTTTCTCTGTCTTTGTCTGTCTCTGTTTATGTCTTTATGTCTCTTGCTGCTAGGCTGTGTATTTACTATTTGTATCTGCAGAATCGAGCTATTAGCTCTTGGATACCGCCTTTCTAAGCAATTTATTTTTATTCTATTATGTCTTTAATACACACACACACAACCCCAGGAAGCCGCCCATACCAGCTGCCTAATTTCCAGATACTTGTTTACCGCTAGGTGAACAGGTGTACCAAGGTGAAAGTAACTCTGTCCACTAGTTTCTGCCGCTGCCGGGGATCGAACCCGAGCCCTTAGGACTACGACCCCAGAGCGCTGTTCACTCAGCCGCGAGGCCCCTAGGCGGGCCACGCGGTCTGTGTGTATATGTGTATGTGCGTGTATGTGTGTGTGTTTGTGTGTGTGTGTGTGTGTGTGTGTGTGTGTGTGTGTGTGTGTGTGTGTGTGTGTGTGTGTGTGTGTGTGTGTGTGTGTGTGGTGTGGTGTGTTGGGCACGTTCCCAAAAGCTAGCCCCAAACATGTGGCCTACCCCCTCGAACTGTCATATATATATATATATATATATATATATATATATATATATATATATATATATATATATATATATATATATACTTGATCTTACGACCTTACGTGTAGTTATGGGCTAATCTTTCATTTACGCTTCAGGCTGATTTTTTTTAAATGTTAAAAATGCTTTACAAATGTCCAGCCAAAGTTGAGAAGGTTTCCCAAATGAAACAAACTGAATTTTGTTGGTTGGAAGAACAAAACTACAAATCTTTGAAAAGCTAAAATGCCTCGGAACAGCTCAGGTTTGAAACTATGTTCTGAAACTCTCTTATGAAGCCCCCGCTGGTCTGAAACTATGATATGAAATCTTTTTCTTTAAGCCACCCTGGTCTGAACCCCTTTTCTGGTGCCCATGGTTTAAAGCCTTAGTCTGAAGCATAGTCTAATCAGTCCAAATATATTTATGTACAGTTCCCTCCATGTTTCCAAAAATTTTGAAAATCTTTATCAGAAAAGGAACGGTACATCTCAGAGACTGACATATGCACAGATTCCACAGACGTACAGACTCACAGGACCGGATTGAGAGGCGGAACCCAAGAGCCGAAACTCAACCCCCGCAAGAACAACTAGGTAAGTACAGGCGTACATACAAAACTCAAAAGAACTGAATGTCTCTTACAGAACGTTACAAAATACGTTAGAGGATACAAAATACTTCAGAGGGTACATAATACATCAGATATTAACTGGTTCCAAAAGATCAAGCCCCCAATTTCCAAACCAGTATTTACCCAGGTCTTTCCCGAATGTAAATTCATCCAATATATATTAAGCAGTTTATGAGCAACAAAGCACATAACGAGGTTGTTTATAACCACCACAACAACATCCATGGGTTGTGAAGTGTCGAAGCTCGTAAGCGATTTAATATACGCAAGCAACACCGCCATGATTAAGGCAAGATGCAAAGGTTTCGAAATATATTCTAAGTCTGAAATAAGGAAAGATTGAAACGTCGGATTGACGTAGAGGGGAAGAATGCAACGTTTAAATGAAGGAAAAAATTAAATTTTTAATGAAGAATTAAACGAGTATTTGAAGTAAGGAAGAATACGTTTGATTAAAGGAAGGAATGAAACGTTTGACTGACGTAAAGGAAAAAATAAAACGTTTGATTGACGTAAAGGAAATTGTCTCAAATGTGAGGGATGTAGAAATTCGCAGTTATTGGAAACGACGAGTATGGTGCTTTGGGGTGTCGTGTGTGTGTGTGTGTGTGTGCACCTGTGTAGTGTGTACTTTTGAAGTGTGTGTACTTGTGCAGCGAATCTCCTTAGTGTGTGCCAGTGTAAATTGTGTCTGTGTGTAGAGTGTGAGTCAGGGTGTAGAGAGTGTGTGTCTGGGTGTAGAGAGAGTGTGTCTGGGTGTAGAGAGTGTGTCTGGGTGTAGAGAGAGTGTGTCTGGGTGTAGAGAGAGTGTGTCTGGGTGTAGAGAGTGTGTCTGGGTGTAGAGAGAGTGTGTCTGGGTGTAGAGAGAGTATGTCTGGGTGTAGAGAGAGAGTCATGGTGTAGAGAGAGAGTCAGGGTGTAGAGAGAGAGTGTCTGGGTGTAGAGTGTCTGGGTGTAGAGAGAGAGTGTCTGGGTGTAGAGTGTCTGGGTGTAGAGAGAGAGTGTCTGGGTGTAGAGAGAGAGTGTCTGGGTGTAGAGAGAGAGTGTGTCTGGGTGTAGAGTGTCAGGGTGTAGAGAGTGTCTGGGTGTAGAGAGAGAGTGTCTGGGTGTAGAGTCCGTTTAATATTGTGAATGGGTTACACAATTACTTATCAAAACATGATAAATAGTAATTGTTTGAGATAGATATTTGTAGACGAGGAAGAGGGGATAATAGAGAGAGGGAATGGAGGAATGGAGAAGATGAGATGGGATGATGTCCCGAGGAAGATAATGGAGAAGTAGAGGCTAGGTTAAGAGCCGCACTTTTCCTTAGGAGTTAATGGATCAAGGGCTATTCAAGACTATGCTGGGTTGATTGATTGATTGGTTGAAGAGGCAGAATGATGAATTTCAGGTTGCAAATGAAATCTGGGAAGGCGGTGGATGGGTGGGGTTGATAGGTGGGAAGGGCAACGATCTTTGGTAGTCAAAGGTGGTTTAGGCAGTGAAGGTGAGAATATGAGGCTATGTTAGGCA